AATGAAACACATTGATATAAATCTTCAGACCTCTTTTTGCTGTGAAATGTCAAACCTCATCATCTGCTTTTCTATATGAATAACCTGCAGTCCCAGACTGTTTTCCATGTTTCCATGGGAGGAAAAAGTCATTAACAAAAATCAACTTTACGGTTAAGAGGAAGCAGCTCTAGCAAAAGTACGTGAATTGTGTATTTTTGTTACCAGTTAGAACAATGTGCTGTTCCTGGAATGCATACGCAAGCCCATTTCAAAGCAGGAACGAAGCAGACACATGTCACAGACCACAGGACAGCAGGACAGCAGACTGTGTACTTCCCTGAACGGCCTGATCATAGGGAAGATCAAGACAGATCTCCTAGCAGAGCCCTTGTGACTAGTGCAGGACAAAGAGAGCTACCCAAATACAGAGTGCTAACAAAAAGCCCAGGAAGAGTAGAAGATGTGGAAAGGGAGAAGGAAAGGTAAAACAGTAAAGAGAAAATAAGCAACTGATATAAACCCCCCTGACTTTCTTGTAGCTGTAGAGCCTTGGAAGAGCGGTCAAACGGAGTAGTAAATCACTGTAAATGGTGAAAGGCCTATAAATATTGTGGGCTGTGGAAAGAACAATTTGTTGCATTACAAGCAGCCAATGAGTCTCTATGCTAAGCCACTCCACAAGAAAAAGTTTTTCTGAAGCCAGTACTATCAGTAGCCACATTTACTTTTAACTATAACATGCAAAAATTCATCAGAAAAGCTGCTTTTAGTATTTGAATGAAAGCACAGATAATTTTCATGTGTACATGTTATTTGCAGCCCATATTCAAAATCACAGCAACAGTGATTTTCCAACTAGCTAATAGGAGGGAAACAGCAGATTCTAGCAGCAGAGCTATTTTCTTTTTTATATGTTAGGCTCCTGATATTCTGGTGTTCATGTTAATTTACAAAATGAGGAAGCACTGAAGTAACTCTGCATGCACATAAAAGTCTACATACTACATCTAAATTTTTATCAGTTTCATGATTTATCACGTTCCCCAAAACTGTAACACTTCTTTAGTGGTGTCTGATTAGGAAAAAGTATGGACTCTACCCCCAAGAACGCACACTTTTTAAAGACACTAAACCTCCAGACCGCTCTGAAGTGGGCAGCACCTCAGCACAATCAAACTGCTAAAAGCAGTTGAAGCAGAAAAATAGAACAGTGGGCCAAAATCCTTTCTCATATAATAATACCCTGTCACTAACACTGGCCAATAGCAGGCATTATATTCCTGGGTTTATAAAAAGGAAATACACTTGAGCTGCGCGTGGTGATTTCTAGAAGAGATAACCACTCAGGGGCAAAACTCAGAAGCCACTGCCTTGATGATCCCTTTCATGTCACTCAATAGCAGCCAGAAGAGCTGCTTTGTAATCCTTACAGTTTATTTCATTTGTCTCTGTATAGTGTTATTTTATATAGTTTATTGTGGTTTGTCTTTATATTTTCTCTTCAATAGCTTTGCTGGTTCAATTTGCCACACAAAATTTAGCACACAGTGGATGATGCAGAACACCAGACAAGCAAGATGATCGTTGTCTTTCAGACACTAACAAACCAAGGAGAGTTGTCAGCCCCAGCTACGCCACAGGCCTCCTAGGTGAAGTTGATGCCTGGCATGTTTGTTACAATGAATACACAGAAGCAAGTTGATTAATGGCTGCAAGAACCATAACTTAGGTATATTTGGGTTTACCGTACTGACAGCTTGCTTTGCAACATCTGGGTTTTTTTTCAATTTACCTATTATGTGCAGCGATATTGCATATGGCTTGGCATTCCCTTCTCATGATGTTTGTTGTCTAGTGTGAGCAACTCATCCCAGCTCCATGACCCTCTAGCTTCCCCAAGTCATTCAGATGAGGTGGGGCTCTGCCAGCATGCTCTCTTCTTCAGGCCCAAGCGCATGGTTGTTTCCGATAACAACTGGGGAACATGGAGTCCAAGCATCCCGGTATCCCCTAAGGTCTGGAAAGGCAAATTTAGGAAGTTTCTGAGTTGCAAATGGTTGAGGTAACTGAAGGAAGCATTATACATGCTTGGTCTGTTCTTACACATTTGTTTAGGCATCTATTTTCAGACACTATTACCTTCCTACTAGCCCAATCCAAAAAAGCTCTCAAACCTTCCCCGGAAAGGGGCAGCTATGATAAAAGAGAGCAGGAAGGAATCAAGGGATTACAAGTGAGGGGAAAAAAACATTAAAGCAAGAGGGTGTGAAGGCCAAATGGTCAAAAATCAAGAAACTGGGAACTGGAGAGATAAAACAAACAGCATCAAGGACAGGACTCAGTGCTTCTTGATGGCACCAAGGTCCCAGTTAAGAGGCTTGATTTGGTAGAGGAGAAGCCAGAATTGGTGTCCCCAGCATACACCAAGGGGTCTTGTATCAGAGGCAGAAGAGACAGGATATACAGCCTGAAGGATTCTTGGTTTGACTTGGTACAGCTGTTCTTGCTTGTATCAGAGTCAAGAAGCATATACCACAAGACCAAGGAGCACCAAAGACCTCCTGGATTCTGCAGAAAGATATAGCCAGAAGCTTTGCACCTAATCAGTGAAGAGAGAGGTCCAGTTTCTCTCTCTAAAGGCACCTGCATTAGGGTAGGATGGATCATCCTTTGGTAGCACCTGTCTTGTGTTTGTAGAAGATTAGGCAGCTAATGCAGAGCAGATGCTTATTTTTACATGGTTAAGAATAGATGAGATTCATGGAAGTTGTTTTAATAAACACACACGATTAGGGTAGGTAGCTACCATGGCAGAGAGAAGCTGTCACAGAGGATGTGAGAATTTTTGTCTTTCAGTCAGTTTAAAAAGACTACTCACAGATCCCACGATAGCTGTTTTGAAGGAAGCATCACTAGAATTTGGGCTTGATTTAAAGGTGAGGGACAGAGAAGCTGACCGCTTACAAAGAAGCCAGCTAAATGAGTTCCTACACGCTTTGTAGAAATAGGCAGCTGGTTATAGGAGAGACACAGTGCAGCATGGCTTCCACCCTTGCTAGATGCCTGAGAACGCCCCAGGTAGAGGACAGCTTCTGTTCAGGCTTGCACATAACCAAATGTCAAGTGTATGACATGAACACAAAGGGAAGCCAGATGCTACCAGTTCTGCAGCTCACAAAACTAATGTTTATGAGGACTGTGCCGTGAAGCAACTCACTATTCAGAGAGGAACCATTACTTGGCCGGCAACATTTACTCACCATGTGATCATCTGCAGGGCCTTGGTCTGCACTCTTTATTTTTTTACCGCTTGTAGGACAGACGGCTGCAGAGTTCTTGAAACAGATGCCAATATCATGAATAATTCTGGAGTACTAAGCCATAATACAGCAAAGATAAATATGTATCAATTATTCTTCTATGCTGCAAATGTATTTTCATCTGAACCCTGCAAGATGGCATGGATACCCAAACACACCCACCCACACAGGTTCATGATCACATCGGAGATGACTGCAGATGCTGAACCAGTTTTTCTTCCTCCACAGTTTATATGCGTATAACAAACACATACAGATTTAACAAATAAGAATTGTTACAGTGGGTCAGACAAAAGGTCCATTGGCCAAATGGAAAGCAGCCATCCAGTCTTTGACAGTGGCCACTAATGGATGCCTAGAAAAAAGTGCAATAGGTCAAGCGTATAATGACACTTCCCCGATGTACTCTCGCATTCGATAGCCGTGTATTAATTCTCTCACTGCTGAACTACAGCTTTCCCGGAGCACAAAGGGAGCTCACTTATTTTCATCTTTTCAGGGATATCTACATCTATAACAGCATTACATCTATTCACTGCCAAACTGTTTATTTGTTTGTATTAAGCGGGTGCCAAGAGCTGTGCTTCCACTACACAGAAAGGGTTAAAACCCCACCTTTAATACCATCTGCCCAGGAAATGCCTCAAAAGGCACCACCACGTGCCACCACGCCTCAGTGCCGGCTGGGTCTGAGCTCTTGTGGGTCTCCGAGGAGCCCAACACAGGAGCGCCATGGTCTGATGGCAGGATCTGTGCGGAAAGGACGGGGCGGCGGAGACTCTCCACTGCCCCACAGGGCCAGGAGTGCCCAGGTCGGGCAGAGAGACCCCACGCCCGCACCCCTACCACAGAGGGAACGCGAGGCCACAGCGGCGTCACCCCGGGCTGCCCCTCCAGCCCCCCACGGGCCGAGCCGCC